TAAAAACAATTTTAAGAAAAAAATCATTTTTAAGACAAAAACTGGTATGCGTTTACCAAAGATTCGATTAAAACGAGTTCGGGAGTCGGTTACGCGTGGGGAATGATTAACACCCCCACAGCGCCCAAAATTAGTATTGTGTTACTTACAAATTGTCAAAACGGTGGAAATCCTGAATCAAATATTAAGTTGGAATATGATCCATTTATTGAATATTAATTAATTTGCTTCAAATTGATTAATTAATTAGAGAAAATTCTTTAATTTGAAAAGAAATCTCGACATTAGCAATCTTGTGTCGGGAAATCTATTTCTTATTCAAATTCAAAAATTTCATTCTCATTTATTCTTTTTAAATTCGAATCGAATATAATTTGAATATCAATTTTTGCATAAAATAATATAATAATTTTTTTAAAGAAAAATAATTTTAATAATAAAATATTTATAGTAATAATATTTTAATCTTTAAGAATGAAATAAAATAATAAGCAAGAAAAGCTAATGTTTGAAAATAATTAATATAATTTATAATGTGAGAACAACATAATTTTTTAAAAATAATATATATATATATATATATATATATATATATATATATATATATTATAAAACGTAAGCTTGCCATAGAAGTAGTTTCCAATCACATTGACCCATAAAATTAAATTGTTTAAAAAGTTTTAAATGATAATGGGAGCTCCACTTGCAAAAGTTTTTTGAAAATAAGGACAATGGAATCTCATGACATTTTCAATTTGATTATTATGTTCCATTATACATTTAATATTTAACGTTAATAAGGACGTCAAAACTAATTGAAATCTAAGATCTATACATACATGAAATATGATAAATCGAAATGAATGAATAAAAAAACACGGCAACTAAAAAAAACTTAATATGGTTAAATTTAAATAAATAATATTTAATAAGAACTTAATCATGTAAATAAACCTAAAATAATAATATTATGATAACACTATAACTAACATAAAATAAATGCAAAATAAAAAGGATCAAAATAATAATTATTCATTTTATTTTAGGACCTAAATAAAGGACTACAAAAGTATGGAGGACCTATATGGCTAGTTTCCCTAAACGCAGAGATGATAGGTCAAAACGTCGTCGTTTTGCCAATCATATTTGAGCCTAAATATAGGCTAAATTTTCAATCTTCTCTCATTTTTCTTCCTTTCAGCCGAATGAAGAGAGCATAATAAAAATGCTCTCAATCCCTCTTCAGGGAGTTCCTCTGCTTGTCGCCGCCGGTGGACTACACGGCGGTTCACGGTGGCCGGCGCGGCGGCGTACGACGGCATAGGGATCAAATGGTCCCAAAAGCTTCCTTATTTGATCATCTACCCGAAAAACACCTACTTTCAGCCTACAAGTAACCCAAATATCGTAAATCTTCGAGTTTACCTTCGAAATAAATAGAGAACGCGACCATTTTCGGGCTTCCACGGTCGGCTTTAAGACTTTTCGATCTCCAGTGTAAGTTTCCTTCCTTTAATTCTTTCGCAAATCTCCTCGAAAATGCTTCCTTTTTTCCTTTTTCTTTCTTCAAATCTCTCTGCCCCCCCCCCAAATTGCTTCAATGGTTACATGTATTTATACTGGTTTTTTTGGGTTGGAGATAAGTAGATTTTCCACTAGTTTCAAATAATGGCATAGCAATACTGAAATTTTTGTATTTATTTTAATTTTAGTGGATGTCTGATTTATTTGATCTGTATTTTTTATGTTTTGGGTGATGTTTGGCGTAAGGGATGACGTTCTTTGGCGGTTCGAAGGCTCAGAGGTTGCTCGGCATTCACTGTTGGAGGCGGTAGCTTCATTTAATTTAGGGTTTCAAAAACCCTAATTTCATATTATTGGGTTGGGCCTGAGTCTATTGAGTTAATGTATTTGGACTCTGAATGGGTCTTAAATACTGGGTTATACTGGGCTCCAGGATTGGCCTGTAATTTTATTTTAATAATAATAATAATAATAATAAACCCTGACAAAAATAGGTGTTTATTGATATATTTGTATATAAACAAATATAGGTGAAAATTTTAATTAATAAAAGGGTAAACTCTAAAAGTGGTCACCAAATTTCTAGGATGCGTTCATTTTAGTCACCAAGTTTGATGTAATATAGAAGGGAAACGATTTTGTCTTATTTAGAAATATCACATGGACTTGACATGATGCATTCTTGTCCTTTTCTACACAAAAATCATATCAAATATTGTTTTTTCCCTGAAGTCCCTAAAATTGAGAAAGTACCCAATTCCCCAAAAAGTTTACATTTAAGCGTTGTATACATTGAGACCACGAGAGGGACACTGTTCCTTATTCTTCCTAACCCCACAAACACTAAACGCTCCTTTTAGTTTGTCCTTTAGTCAACTACTATCACAAAAATAATAGTTTCAATAAACTAAATCTCATCATATGAATATTCCTATTTAACTTTCATTTGTATGCTATAACTAAATGATTTTAATAATTAAGAAAATAATCATTATCTTTTAAGATTCGGGGTAGTTCGATATTCATTGTTAAATGACTGGATTTTTTAAATAAATATTATCGTATAATCATTTAGACTAATCAAAAAAGAACTTCCATCTATATAAATCAAGAAACCAAATCAACTGACACAACAATAAAATTATATTTTAATTTTTTAAAATAACACATTTATATTTTAATCTCTTTAAAAATTATAATATCTTGAAAATTAATATAATACTAAAAAGTTATTAAGCTCTCTTAAAATATTATTTAATTTGTTTTTTAAAATAATGTAATCTTTATATTTCAATATAATATAAATTTCATCACGTATGTATTTTTCATAAAATCAATTTTGATTTAATTATGAGTATATATTTACTATAAATTTAATTATAATTACTAATTTTAATTGCATTCATATCATATATAATTATGATCACGTTTTTTGTCAATCTAGGGTAAATATAAGATATTGTCTATTTAAATATAATTCACAATCATTTAACTTTGAATACTCACGTCTCTAGCATTCATAATACTCGAACTTAGTTATCAAGAAATAACAATAATTTTTTTATCATCGAGCCCGTTTGATTCGTATAATTATGATCATACTTGATAGAAAAACTAAAAGTGGATATATTTAATTAAGAACAATGGGTCATCATGCAGGTGATTGAAGGAATGAATAAGGACAGAAAACGCGTGTCCCCATCTAACGGGCGGTCCCATCTCCATCACGGGCAATCCGCGCTTCATATGCTTCCTGCAACCTTTAAATTTCCCATTTCTTATTAACAAATCCAAATTATAAAACAACCTAAACTCCACTTTTCAAAATCGATGTGTAGTTAAAATATGATTAAATTAAAATATTTAAATTATTAATTATAATAATTATAATAAAAATAATTATTGAGCGATAAATTAGGACTAAACTAACCTACCTCAACTTTTTTTAATTTCTTTAGTTTCACTTGAGGGTCGGTGGTGAAGATCGGAGAATAATTAGAGAGAAAAATGTTTAAAACAGAGAAAAATAAAATGAGAAAATGATACTTAATAATTAAATTATTTGAAATTTTAAAATTAATCTTAATTGCAGTTTAAAATATATATTATTTGTTTCGTAACTATTTTTAAAATTTAAATTGGTCCGAAATAAATTCTAACTTACCCTAGTTTCTTCTCTATCTTTGTGTCGTTAAACTTTTTTTTTAATCTTTACAATGTAAGTGATTACGTGACATCAACTTCAGTGTTGGTCGTCTAATATTGTTAATAAAATTGTTTTATTATTTTTCAATTTTTTAATTTTTTAATTTTTTAGTTTTTAATAGTTTTATTTTTATGATATATTTTTTTCTGTCTTTGTCGTATGTTTTTTTTATGGTATATTTTCGGTCGTTTGGTCGTTGTTTTAGTTTATATTTTTATCAGGATTAGATTTGAAATCATCATGACTAATTAAGTGATGCTTATGTGTTATCATGTTGATCTTCCTACTTTACACCCTCAAATTAGATTTGGATACACCATTTATACTTTGGACAATTTTGTTCGCTTTGCTCGATTCTAATTTACGAGTTGTCGACGATCTTTCAATAATTTTATCTCATTTTATGATTTTGTTTGTCAATGCATTCCGATATATTTGTGTGTGTATATATATATATATATTGTTCAAGTTTTTTTGGTTAAATTTTAACCTTTTTTGTGTAAGGTCATTGTGTAATCCTAAATGACTAATTTTTGTGTTAATGGTTATATGAAAATATTCTAATTTTATGATTAGTTTATGATTATAAACATACATTGTAATTATGTATATTTTATCGTTTTAATAAAATTAAAGGTTTCTATAAAAAATTTTAAGTTGGCCCAGTAGTTTGACGTGAGCTTTCAATCCTGATTAAGGTTTGATGATTCTAAAAATAATATGGTTTTAATTTTTTTTCTAACAATACGATAAAATTTTGAATCTTTTAAGTATAAAAAATTATATCAAAACGATATCATTTTGATGCAACGGTCACATTAATAAACATTAATTATGTCATTATACATTACTAATTTAATTATAAAATAATATAATTAGATGTAAAATTAAAGTTTAATTTTATAATTAATAAAATTAAAAATTTAATTATATAACTTAGTACTTAAAAGTTTTGGGTTCACACTTCTTTTTTAATCATAGATTCAACATCATGAGGAGTAAAGTTCTTGTTCCATAAAAATTACTTTTAAAAATTAAATAAATAAATTAGTGTTTTTTAGTGTAATTTAGTTTTTTAATAAAAATGAATTAAAAATAAAGTAGGAAAAAAAAGCAACCTAAATATTGTTTGCCAATAAACATGGGACTTATTTTCATTTTCTCTATTTTACCCTTTCCCCGCTCTTCTCTCCTCTGTTGTACTTGTAATTTTCTTGTTCTAATCCACTTCCATTATTACCATTTTTGTCGTTTTCCTATCTTTATAGTCCTTCGTCATTTCCCGGACTTATGCTCTCTGTATTTGCAATTATTGGTTGATTTTTCGTGGTTACTGTCTTTCTGGTCCCCTTTCATTCACAGATTCCCAGTTCATTGCGCTGTTTTTTCGCCGTTTAGAATCCGAAAAGCATTCAGCTGAGCCGAAATTGTATTTGTTCTTCGTTTTCCCTTTTCGGGTTCCTTTTTTTCAACAACAAAAACGTTTACTTTACATGCAGAACGTTGAATTCGATTCAAGGAAAGAACCGATGGAAGATTTTGGTTAATATCGTGAGTGTTCAAAGTTCAAATTTTTTGTTGCTCAATTGCACTGATTGTGGAAGTCAGCAGAGAGAAGATGAGTTGTTTCCCTTGCTTAAATCCTCGATCTAAAGATGCAAGGATCGACATTGACAATGGAAGTCGAACTACTTCTCGCCATTCCGCCGATTCCTCAGGTTTTTTTTTTCATTTCCCTGTGATCTATTATTCTTTTTCTGTATAAATTTGCTTATCTGGGTTCATTTGTTCTTCGTTTTTCTAACCAGTTTCCTGCGCTAAGAGAAGAAAACATGTCTAGAAGGTAATGTTAACTATTTTAACATCGAATTTCGTGTTGTTTCAGTGGAATTGGTTGTTGATTGCTTGTCTTGTTTTGAAATTTTGGTTACAGATCATAAGAATGGAAGTGAACAAGGAAAAGGCTCCAAAGACGATGGAGCACGTAGGTTCACATTCCGAGAGTTGGCAACAGCGACAAAGAATTTCAGAGAAGCCGATTTGCTCGGGGAAGGAGGATTCGGAAGGGTTTTCAAAGGTCGATTGGAAACCGGAGAGGTAAAGATTGCTTCTTTTCATTTCATATTCATGTATCAGTTTGGTATATTTCTAGAATTTGTTCTGTATTTTACTTATTAGGTAGCTTTTAAATTTGAGCTGGATCATTTATGTTTTTTGTAACCGACCAGATCGTCGCGGTGAAACAACTTAATCACGATGGTCTTCAGGGCTATCAGGAATTCATTGTTGAGGTTCTTATGCTCTGCTTGTTACACCATGTGAACCTCGTTACTTTGATAGGCTATTGCACCGCTGGGAATCAGAGGCTCTTGGTTTACGAATACATGCCGATGGGCAGTTTGGAAGATCATCTTTTCGGTAATGTTTACTAAATACAGAGTTCCATTGAACATGGAAGGTCATGCTATTGTGTGTTGTACTTTAATAATGCAGAGCTCTAGGTCTCATTCAAGATTTTCGCTATTGATTTTGAAGCTATGCATGGAGAAATTCAATTTTGAATCTACTAATAATGTTTGTTTTGCTGAATTTTTATTTGTTTTGCGGTGCATTATGTGTAAAGCTTCCGTAATTTGTCCCAACAGTTTATGCTTCAACCAAATGCGATATTCGTCTTAAAGCAAGAGTGCATAACATCTAAACCTGTTAGAGTAGCCTTAGAATGTGTGCTATACATGGCCGTGCTGCCCGTGCATCGTTGAAAATCATAATCACTGTTGAATATGCCTAGCACTTGAGAATGCAAATATTTAAAATTTGGCCTCAAATGGGAAGTATTTTTTACCTTGTCTTCCCACTTGGATGCTTGGTCATGTGCTGCTTTTATTCGTATTATTCCATATAGTTTTTAATATTATCGTTCTCGTATGTAAAGGGATTATTTCATATAGTTGTGTAAAAGCAATAGTAATGCTTCTGATTGTTGCAATGTTTCCTCATAAGCCACTAATCGAATGTGTTTCTACAGGTTTAGAACCAGGACAAGAGCCTCTGAGCTGGAACAATCGTATAAAGATAGCTGTTGGTGCTGCTCGAGGAATTGAATATCTACACTGCAAGGCCAATCCATCCATCATTTATCGTGACTTGAAGTCTGCAAATATTTTGCTGGATAATGATTTCAACCCTAAACTCTCGGATTTCGGCTTAGCAAAGTTGGGACCTGTGGGTGACAATACCCATGTTTCAACCAGGGTGATGGGAACATACGGATATTGTGCTCCCGAGTATGCCATGAGTGGCAAATTAACTCTTAAATCTGACATATATTGTTTTGGTGTGGTGCTATTGGAGTTGATAACTGGACGAAAGGCAATAGATTCTACTAAGAAGCATGGAGAGCAGAACTTGGTGTCATGGGTAAATTATCCTTCTATTTATTTATGGTTTGATCCAGTTTGACTTTGTTCCGATCCTCTTCTTCCCCTATGTTCTCTCTGTTATATAATTTATCCCTATCGTGTTGCAGTCCCGTCCGTATTTAAAAGACCAGAAAAAGTTCAGCCTACTGGTTGATCCTCTAATTCGAGGATGTTATCCTCGTCGATGCTTGAACTATGCAATTGCAATTACTGCCATGTGTCTCAACGAAGAAGCCAACTTCCGACCACTTATCGGTGATATCCTCGTCGCACTCGAATATTTGGCTTCTCAGAGTCAGAATTGGCCTCCCGAATCACAGAATGTCGATGCCCACAATGGTTCACAGTCCTCACCGATGCAACCAGAGAAAGGGACCCCTCGTCGATCCAACCCCAGAATTCGTTTGATCGCTGTTTGAAGTTATTCAGTAAACTTTGATCAAGTAAGCTGCAACTCATTTTTTGTTTTCAGATTATAGCATAATTTAGAATTATCTTCCTTGTTGTCACAAGAACGAAACACATCGGTATAGGTTGTTACCCGAAGGTCGACATGATCGAACATAATATTTACCGTCAAGCGAGTACATGTACGAGTAAATGTATGTGCATCCTGTTATCCAAGGGCTATCTGTTCATTACTTCCATGAATTCCCTTTTATTTATTTATTGTAAATGGAAAGATTATATATAGCTAGACAGACATAAAGATATATAGAGTACCATATTGTGGGAAACATTAAAGAGTAGATGAGTGTTTGTCGCCTTCTTACCCCCCCCCCCCGAGTTTGGAGTTTAGCCACAACCAAGCAGGGAAACATTAATATTGGTCACATGGATGATGTAATTCGGGTTATTGATATTCCTATCTCATCTTTGTGGGACTTGTACCATTGTGTCGAATCATATCCACTTTCAAAAACCCCAGGGGAATTACTCCTTACCCCCATCTTATTAATTGCCCATTTAGTTTTCATTATTTATGCCTTCTATTAATCTGGTTTTAATTCTACTTTAATTAAATAAATTTAAAAATTGAGAAACCAGGATAGGAATAAGGGAAATCTTTTTTTTTTTTGGGGGAGGGGGGGAGGGGTGTTATGAGCACTAATCATCGAGTAAAATTCAGCATTTGGTTAATGATAACATTTTTTTCAAAACATTTGTTCTATTGATGAAAATTAAAGAGAGCGTATGAATCAATTTTAAAATTTAAACTCCAAAGTAACAATCCATAAATACATTAAAATAATAAATACTATTTGATTTTTGAGTATAGTAAAATATTAATTAATAATTTAGTATTTTTTTGTCTATTGGAATTTTTTTTGGATAAGTTTCATATTATTATCCAAGAAGCAATAGAAACTCACTGCTACAATCAAACAAGTCACAAAACAAGCAACACCTCCTAGGAGTTGCTAATCCCCCAATCTAAACAAAGATTTCTATTGTTAGCACTATTTTTTTATGACAACGAGTTGACTTCAGCCTAACAATTTCTTTAATACCGCTAACAACACTATCAACATCTCTACTAATGCCCTTAAACTGCCTATGATTTCTTTCCTCCCATATACAATATACATATGCACACTAAGTTATTCTAAATATAGACACAAAGAGGGTTTTGCCTTTAAACCGAGAGATGGCCCAATTCAGTTCCTCGTCCCAGCACCCCACCATTCTGTCAACATTACATAACCGGGTAATCACCTCCCAAACAGCCTTTGAGAAGGAGCATCCAAAAAAGATGTGGCTACGGGTCTCAGCCTCAGTTCCACACAACCTGCATTTATCTTCCACCCCAATCCCCATTCGAGCAAGTCTATCAGCAGTAGGCAATCTGTCAAGAATAGCCATCCAGGCAATGAGGGAGTGTTTAGGAATGTGCAAAGGAAACCATACAACCTTATGCCATTCCACCTTCTCTTTCCTTCCCCTAATCTCTTGCCATAGCCAACGAGTTGTAACCTTGTCCCAGTCCATGATCCCTGAGAACAAAGGTTGCACTTCCTCCCTTAACTTTAGAATTTTCCGTATACTCCAACTAAAGGAAGGCTTGCTTGCAACAGACCAGAAGTCAACTCCTTTAAAAACATATAACCTCACCCAGGCGACCCAAAGAGAACTTTCAGCCATGAGAAGTTCTTTAACCAATAACAGAATACAAGCTTTATTCCAGCAAGCTAAATGCTTAAGGCCTAAGCCTCCCTCAGACTTAGGGGTACAAATGCTTTCCCAGCTCACTCGGGCTCCCTTAGCTGGAATATCACCCCATTTCTAGAAAAACCTTGCACAAAGCTGGTTCACCCTTTTAATCACAGCAGTGGGCAGAACAAGTTGCCTACACTAGTAGTTGGCAGTGCTAAATAAGACTGACTTCACCAGTTGCAATCTGCCTGCATAACTCAACCATTTATTGGACCAAAGTCCAAGTTTTGCTTTGATTTTCTCCACTAGACTGGCACAATCTTTCACTGTTAATTTCCTAGGGACAAGAGGCACCCCTAGGTATCTCACAGGAAGGCAGCCTAGTTTGAATCCAGTAAACTCATGGACCAATGTCCTAAGATCATCATTCACACCAGCCATGAAAATTTCAGTCTTAACAGCATTGAGCCTCAGCCCTGACATCTCATAAAACCTTTCCAAAACACAATTCACCCCTACAATAGAATCAAATCTACCTTTGCAAAATATGAGTAAATCATCTGCAAAGCATAAGTGTGTTAGGTTTAGTTTCCTGCACTTAGATGAAATTTGAATATTTTTCCAGAAGCAACAACATCCAGCATTTTTGATAAGACATTCATAGTAGCCACAAATAGGTAAGGGGATAGGGGGTCCCCCTGCCTGACTCATATTCTCCCTCTAAAAACCCTACTAGACTGTCATTCAACACAATGGAGAATCTAGAGTCCATAACACAAGCATCTATCAATCTCTTAAACAAAATAGGCAACCCTAATCCTTTCAAAACAGAAAGAAGAAACTTCCATAGTGAGTCAAAAGCCTTCTGCAGATCAGCCTTTATGGCATACCTAGGGGAGATAGAACCCCTTCCATACCCTCTAACAAGCTCCTGAGCTAGGAGGGTGTTGCCTTCAATTTTCCTCCCCCTCACAAAGGCTGATTGGTTAGGGGCTATCACCATAGGGATAAATTGAACCAATCTGCTCACTAAAATCTCGGTAACAGTCTTGTAAAAAACTGAGCAACAAGATATGGGTCTAAAGTCCATGGCTTTACAAGAGTTAGGTAGCTTAGGAACTAAAGTAATAGCAGTGGAGTTAAATGCAGGCAATATTTTTGAGGATTCAAAAAAATACCTCACAACAGCTATGAAGTTTGCTCCAACAATGTCCCAGGCAGAATGAAAAAATCCAGCTGTGTATCCATCAGGGCCAGGAGCCTTATCCTTACCTTGATTCCAAATGGCCACTTTGATCTCATCATTAGTAATATCTTTGATCAAATCAACATTTTTACCTGCTGGCAGAGTGTAACCCAGCAGGTCCCTAAGAAAGCTGCCAGAACACCCTTGCACATTTGCATCTATAGTACCAATTTGCCTTGTGAAATGATCCACCAATTCTTCAGCTATTGAATCAAATGTGTCAAGCTTATTGCCTCTCTCATCCATCAACACTCTTATAGTATTTCTCTTCCTTTTGACAACAACTTGGGAGTGAAAAAGTTTAGTGCACCGATCACCATCAAGCAGCCAATCCACTTTAGCTTTCTACTGATAAAACAACCTTTCAGCTTTCTCTAATTCAGTAAGCTCCAAGAGTAATTTTTTCTCTTCTATCACAGCATCCAAATTCCTTCCAGATAAGGTGAGAACCTGCTGCTTCTCTAATTGTTCTCTTTTTTCAACAACCTTCCCAGAGATATTAGAGAAACACCTTTTATTAAAAGTCTTTAACTCAGGTTTCAATCTCTTCATTTTGCAAAACAAGACTTGCATGGGGTTCCCTTGCATAGACTCAGCCCAAGACTTCCCCACTACCTCCTCGAAATCAGGGTGCAATGCCCAAAAATTAAAATATTAGAAAATTGATAAATTAATAATTTATCTTTTTTTATTATCTAATAGTAAATTAGTATTTTTTTGAATGAAATAATTTTTTAAAATAACTACTAAAAAATTATATAAAAAAATAACAAGCTACTTATCGAATCGAATAGAACTTTGTGAGACTCAATTCGTTAAGGTCTCGAGTTGAGTCAACCCGAGTCGAATTTTTACCGAACTTTGACCTAGTCGAGTTTGAGTTGCTCATGAGCTGCTCAACTCATTAAGCACCCTAGACTCGAACCGGAAATCAACCGATCTAATTTTTACCCTATTCGATATCCGACCTTACCCGACTTACTATAAACCCGAATTAAAACATAACCGGAAATGACCCAACCGAGATCCAACCCGAATCAAGTCTAATCAAAATGACATGACGCAAAATGATACGGTATGAATCACCCGTTTCTTACCTCTAGTTATTTCCATTAGCTGTTAGGAGCTTTGGGAAAATAAAATGTTGTTCGATGACCATTTTATCGAGTTAGACAATAGTTTGGATTGAAGCTTGAGGTTGAAGGACAATGTGATAAGGTGTGTGCAGTTCGAGCAGGTTACGGATGGAGTAAATATGTACAGAAAGAAGTTCTTTGACCTGGAAACGACTATCAACTGGTTTGATTAAAGTAAATAACGATGATGTAGCGTGATTTAGTGATTAGTGATGAATCTTAAAATATTTTTGAGAGTGAGTATATGTGTTAATAACACAAATTTTATACGTTGGTAAGCACAAATAAAATTATAGGCGATCACAATTGATAAAATAAATAAGTAAAAAAAAATAGAATTTCTTAATGGATACTTGTCCGACCTAAATATACAATAGATCCGCTACTAATAGTCCGCTACTAATAGTGATGGTGTTACCGCCTGTGGTGGTGTACTTAGGGGCGATCAAGGCGAGTGGTTGTTAGGGGACTTGCTCGGTGATCATGGCTGAGCTTTGGGTAGTGCGCGATATCCTCGTACACATTTGGAGTAAAGATTATATATAAGGTCGAGCTTGACACAGACTGATGAAATCATTCGGATTATGAAGCGATAAACCAATGCTCTTCAAGGTATTGCCGTTGTTCCTGCAGTAAGGGGACCGTTAAACCAAAACTGAGCTTCAACTAATATATATGGGACGTGATGTTAACAGAGTAACTCATGCGATGGTGATCGTGAGACGAGGGACGTGGACTAGGCATGTTCTTAGCCATAAAAAATTCGATTGATTGATTGTATCATTCACTGGATTCGAGGAGCTATGTTTATATATATATAAGAATAAATTATTGTAAATGTCATTTTTCATAATTTCATCTTTGATCATTAAAATTTTACAAATATATTTTGGATATTTATAGATTTGTAATAATTTAACTATTGAGATGTCGATTCTAATTATATCAGTGACACGATATGTTAGTAAATTGGTTTTTTTATTAAATTATTTGATCTTAGATTTTTTTTCAACCCTCTCTTCTAACTTTCACTGCTATCATTCTCTATCAATGTTGCTTCAACCACCTTATCTGATAAGTGATGGTGTCGAACCAAAACCTCTTTCTTC